CTAAAAGCTCAAAATGCTCTCTACAAAATGTTATTAAATATAAAAATTAATAATAGATGATAATAATCAAAGTTTTTAAAATTAAAAAATATCTATTTATAATATCAAATCATCATTGTTTATGGTCAATATATGAGATGCTAATATTATAAGTGGGAATATTTCTTCAACCTCTTTGTTATTCACCATCAACAATAATTTACAATAATCATTCAAAGATTGAATTACAGAAAAAAAAAAAAAAAGCATAATACACAGTTAGTTCTCCAGTGGTTCAAATAAGCATGATACACTTAATTGATTTTTTTAAAATAGTTTGATTTTTTTTTAAAACCATCAAACTGTATTTAAATTCCTTCAAATCTTAAAAACTAAAAAATACACTAGAAATTATGAATTGATTTTTTCAAAGTTACGATAGTTAATTAAATTTGTGGTATATGAGCTTTTTAACTTTTTTTTATTATTATTTTAGAGTGTGAACGGAAAAAAAAAATTGCAATTTAGTGTTTGAAGAGTTAAAAAAAAGTTATTGCATGAAAATTAATAGAATGAATTATTTTACTGAATAAATGATAAAAGCATAAACATCCATCCAATTTACCTTTCCTTTTTTATTAAGCTATATCCCCTCCTAAAAAAAGTCAAAAAAAAATATATATATATATATTACTTGTAATTTTCTTTCAATTCCAAAACAATACATAAAAAAATAAATAAGATAGAAATATAATAAAGACAAATTATCAAAATAAAGCATTAGGGTAAAATAATTCATTTTGCTTTTTCAGTGAGAAATTTAAATTAAATGGACTTAATTATACAAAAATTTTAATTCAGATATTAAAAAAAACAATAATTATTATGAAGATTAGATTAAATTGAATACTGAGGCAAATATTCTTTTTTTTTTTCTTTTAATAAAACTAACATCTAATTATATTAAATGTTCGTAGGGCATTAAAAGCTGTAAAGTCATTGTTAATAATCTATTATTTAATATTTTTTATACAATAAAATTAAAAGCTACATAAATGATTACATAAAATTATTGGTGGTTCTTAAATGTCGTTAGGCATTAAAAGCTGTAAAGTCATTGTTAATAATCTATTATTTAATATTTTTTATACGAATAAAATTAAAGCTACATTAAAGATTACATAAAATTATTGTGGTTCTAAAAGCTAGAGCAGATAAAATTTTCAGCAGGACACAAAAGTGCTTCTGCCCTTATCTGCGACCGTTTGCTAAAGTTATGGAGAACAATAAAAAATAAGGGAATTTCAAAACATATACAAAAATTTCTTTGAGCCCAAATTCAACCACACTGCTACTTTTTTTTTTTTTTTTTTTTTTGATTGGATTAGCAAATTCAAACCACAGCAGCAGAAAAGTCTGATACAAATATGGCAACCTCCTGTGACCGCATTACAACTCACAAATATGGCAACCTCCTGTGACCGCATTACAACTCTTCTACCTTAAAATCTCACTTCAACTTTCACCTTGAGAACTTTTAGAGCACCTCAGTAGCTTTTTCACTAGCAATCGATCATTTACAACCAACCCCACAGTAGTGGCATCTGCAGAAAACCCCTTGCCAACCATGTCATCAATAAGTGGTTTTGCCATGGACAATCTTTGATTCAGAGATATCCTTGGATAATCACATTATAAGAGCAACTGTTTGGTAAGCAACCATTCCCTTCCATTTTCCTAAACACCCTCAATGCTTCATCTAGTAATCCTTCTTTACTAAGTCCACATTGTATTGTATGTACAAACATCAGGATGCAACCCTCCTATGGAAAGTCTAGAAAACAATTTCTTTGCATCTTTTAACCTTTCCAGCTCTGAACATACCATCAATTAGAGTATTATAAACAATAAGGTTAGGCTTCAATAATTTCTTTTGTATTTCATGAAATAGATCCAATGCCATATTAAGACAACTATGCTTACAAAAGACATCTATCAAAACTGAGTATGCCGCCACGTTGGGAGAATAGCCACTGGCACACAAGTCCTTGAAAAACTTATGTGCAGCCCAAGCGCTCTTTGCTTTACACAAGCCACGTATAAGAGAACTATAAGTGAAATGATTAGGCATCAAGCCTTTGCAAGGCATTTCATCAAGAAGCCGCATTCCCTCGTCTATTGGTTTTAGGAAAAAATAATAGCAAGAGAAAAAAGAGACAAGCTATATTCTCCTTCCTCATATATTCTACAACTACTAGTAGTGAAATTTTAGTGGCAAAGGGAGAAGAAGATCTTTACATGTGGGCAGAGACAGGAAAGAGATAAGCCTTTACACGGAGCTTTTGTTGCTGCTTTGCTTAATGACTTGTCAGAAGAGGAATTTGAGTTCATTCTTGCAGCAGTTGAATTTATAGCCATTTACGGCCAACGATTTCTTCCATTATATCATTTCAATTTGAAAAACGGCAACTGGACTTTCAAGAAAAAGGCATTTAAGGACTTGCTATTAGCTTGTGGTGGGAGAATTTTCAACAAACATACCTCCTATTTAGAGATGGCAAAAACTATTGCTAATTTGCTTCCAAAATTTCCTTCTCAACATAAGCTTCCAGAAGATTTAGATCATGTTGACGCGTGTCTTTATGCCCCTGCCTGATCCGATAAGGATACGAGGATGTGGAATGAAGGGTTAATGCTATCTAGAAGTCTTTTAATCCAAGGATTTAAATTAAACACGAGGATGTGGAATGAAGGGTTAATGCTATCTAGAAGTCTTTTAATCCAAGGATTTAAATTAAACCAATTTTAAGTTTCTGGTTGGGTCAGAGTTGCGTCACCCAGCTATCAGTTGCGTCACTCAACTGTTCATAAAAGAACAGTCGCGTCACCCAACTGTTCAAAAAAGAACAGTCACGTCACGCAGCTAAGCAGTCGCGTCACGCGGCTGTCAGCTGCGTCACGTAGCTCTACACGTGGAAAGAAAGCTGCGTCACGCAGCTATCAGATCCGTCACCCAGCCATAAGCTGCGTCACGCAGCTATCAGATCCGTCACCCAGCCATAAGCTGCGTGACGCAGCTATCCTTATCCTCTGTTGCCCTACTCTATAAATTCAATCTTTTTCTCTCAGTTTGCGGGGTGGTTTTTTAAGGAGTCTAAAAATACACTTTCGGCTACGTTTTTTTCCAAGAGACTCTTCTTGCGATCCTTTGAAGAAAAAATAGGCCATTATGATATCAATTAGGGGTGAAAAACAAAAATCATAAAAATAGAAAAAATCAAGAGAGAAAAGAGTGAGTATTTAAATCCTTGGTTGACAAGCTTTCTGGAGCGCCTTACCATCATTTGTTAAGGCATTTAAGCCATTTTCAATCCTCAATCTGAGGATTAGTGTAATTCCTTTACACTTATTTGGGTATTTTTTATTTATTAATTTTTGTTTTGTTATTGTTTTAGTAGTTTAATCTTAGTTAAACTGTATTATGTTCATCTTTGGTCATTTGAGGTTGTCTTAAAACATATTTGGATAAAAAAATGATCTAAACGAACCATTAAATAAAATGAGCTTGGGCCAGTTTTATTTTCCAGATTGTGGAAAGAACAGTCGCATCACGCAACTGTTCAAAATAGAACAGCAGCGTCACGCGACTCTCAGTTGCGTCACGCAGCTGTTCAAATAAGCCCTCAGTTGTGTCACGCGACTCTCAGTTGGGTCACGCGACTGTTCTAAGGTTCCAGAAATAATTTTTTTTTAAGAAAAATAATAAATTTTGTACAAAAATAAAGTTTAATTTCTCCAATAAATTCAAAGATGGCCAATTATGAATAGATTGCAATTTAATTAAGTTTAGAATACTAAAATGTAATTTTGTGTATTTATTTGTATGAATTTTACAATTTTAGGTTGATTACAATTTTAGGTTGAATTGAAAAATGATATTCAAATTTATGTGCTTGTTATAATATTTTTGCATGTTTTAGGATTAAATTAAAAAAAAAGAAAGATTGATTTAGGTGCCTAAAATAATAATTATGCTTAATTTGGTTTTTTTTTTTTTTTTTTGTTTTTGCTTTTTCTGGGTTATGATTTCGAAGTCGGGTAGACATGTAATCTTTACGCTTCGGTTTGTTACCGCGCGCTTGAAACATACAGGTAAGCGAGCGGGTCCTTGTTATTTATTATTAATTCTTTGGTTTGGAATGATTTTTATGCGAGTACATTAGAGTTGATTGAGGGAACGATTAAATAGATTTTCCATATAAAAACGGTCCGATTTATTGGGTTGGGTTTAAGTAGAAAATAATTTGGCTTTATGTCTAACTAAAATAATTAGAAATCGTCCGGTTAAAAGAGGCCGATTTTTCCCGGGCCGTCGGCTTCCAATGGGCGCATGTGTACCAATTCCCTTACCTCCAGAATCGCATTGGTGCGCCTGACCAATCCTTTTTAATAATTTGGCCCTTAAGTAAAATTCGGGTTTAAAAGTGGAGTCACTTTCTACTATAAATTGGAAAACGGTCCCATTGCCAAAAAAATAAATGGGTGGGCGACTCAAAAAAACTGTTTTGTAAAACCGATGGTATCGGCATCTGTTATCCAATAAAATGTCCTTGTCAACCACTTTTTCATAATAAGAATCACTTATCTTCCATCAAAAATAGAACATAGAAAGGACCATTTCGAGGTCGGCTCGGTTGGACGTAACGGCAAAACAGCAGCACAATCTCCTGTATGTTCAGGAGTCCCGTAAATTTCATTGTAAAAGCCTGCAACAAAAAATTTGCCAATCTATTAAAGCTTTTGCTATTGAAAATTGGACGAGCAGATTCTATTCAAGTGAAAAGCAAAAACACTGCCGACTTTTTTTTTCTCTCTTATAGCAAAACCAAAAACAAGTTAGTCGATTCACTATTGGCAAGGCCAGCCTGCATAGAAGTCTGATGACAATATAATGGAATTGCAGAAACTAATAGAGATCAAATTTAAGTCATATACACCCAAGAACAGAACAACACATTGCAGAAAATAGAGACAAATTTAAGTCATATAACCCAAAACAGAACAACACCTCCTGTGACTGTATAACAATTGTTCTTTCTTAAAATCTCACTTCAACTTTACACCTTGAGAACTTTTAGAGCAGCTCAGTAGCTTTTTCACGAGCTGATCATTGTTTACTACCAACTTCACAGTAGCCGCATCTGCAGAAAACCCCTTGCCAACCATTTCATCAATAAGTTGGTTTGCCATGGACACATCGTTGTGTCGGAGATATCCTTAGATAATCACGTTATAAGAGCAACCATTTGGTAAGCAACCATTCCCTTCCATTTTCCTAAAAACCTTCAATGCTTCATCTAATAATCCTTTTTTACAAAGTCCATTGACCATGATATTGTATGTGCAAACATCAGGATACAACCCTTCTAAGGAAAGTTTAGAAAACAGTTCCTTTGCGTTTTTAACCTTTCCAGCCTTGAACATACCATCAATTACGGTATTATAAATAATAAGATTAGGCTTCAACAAGTTCTTTTGCATTTTGTGAAAAAGATCCAATGCCATATTAAGACAACTATGCTTACAAAAGCCATCTATCAAAATCGAGAACGCCACCACGTTGGGAGAATAGCCACTGGCACACAAGTCCTTGAAAAACTTATGTGCAGCCCAAGCGCTCTTTGCTCTACACAAGCCACGTATAAGAGAACTATAAGTGAAATGATTAGGCATCAAGCCTTTGCAAGGCATTTCATAAAGAAGCCGCATTGCCTCATCTATCCTTTTCATCTTACAGTAACAATGAATCAAGATGCTGTAGGTAACAACAGTAGGTGTACAGCCCTTGCTTCCCATCAGGTCAAATATTTCTCTAGCTTGATGCACTTGGTTGTGTAGACAGTATCCATCCATCAACGAATTGTAGGTGATAACATGAGGCTGTATTCCTCCCTGCATCATCAATTTGACTACATCACGAGCTTTTGAAACCTTTCCTTCCTTGCAAAGTCCATCAACAAGGTAATTAAATCTGGTGTGACCGTTTGCTCTCAACATTTGGTTAAGCAAAATAAAAGCTTCCTTCCATCTGCTTGACATGCACAGACCATGGATTAAGGTGTTGTAGGTCACAACACCAGGCAAGATACCTTCGCTCTTTATTTTCAAGAAGAGGTCTAATGCCTCGGTAACAAATCTATCCTTGCAGAGGCTGTCAATGATAGCATTAAATGACACCACATTAGGGTCGCAACCTTCCTGCATCATTCTTTTCAGAACAGCAAAGGCCACATTGGTTTTCCCAATTTTACACAGACCATTCACAATCACAGTATAGGTATAAACATTGGGTTGATACCCTTTTTCAACAATATAATCAAACAAATCCACAGCTTCACCAAATTTAACATCAATCACAGTATAGGTATAAACATTGGGTTGATACCCTTTTTCAACAATATAATCAAACAAATCCACAGCTTCACCAAATTTATCCTCCCTACAAAGCCCATGGATTAAGGTATTAAACGTTACAATGGTAGGCTGAAAACCTAGTTTGAAGATTTTTCCCATAAAAGAGTACCCAAAATCCACAAGGTGGCAGAAGCAATTAATCAAAATATTAAAAGAACAAATATCATGTGAAATTCCAAATATTTCCATCTGTTTAGAGAGAGAAATGACAGTAGTATAATGTTTCATTCGAACAAGTGCAGATAATATTTTATTGAGTTCAATAACGGGAGGTGAGCGATTACTACGAAGCATCAAATCAAAAGAAGCCAAAGCATCATCAATGTTCTGGAATGAATCAGATTTGATTTTACCTCTCAAATGCGTACTGCTGGTATAAGTACTATAAGAAAGAGAATCAAAAATACCCATTAGAGGATGAAGACGAAAATATGTAAGGCATCTTCGGCTGCTTGTTGACATCATCGCATAAAGCCAATGAACGAATCCTGGGGAAAGATGGTTTGATCACTGAGTACTGAGTGCTTTTTTCAATTGAATCAATTGACTGAGAGAATGAGAAGAGAAAGGGGCACTTCTTATCATCACAATAAAAAATAATTTATTTATTTATTTATTTAAAAAAAATACTAAAAGCATTTTAAGAATAAATAAAAAATACTAAAAGCATTTTAAGAATAAAAATTTGACAAGGAGCTTACCTAGGCTTTGTAAGTGTGTATATTTATCTTTCCACCAATGATAACTTGTAATAATTATATATTACCTTGAAATATAGTTTGCTTTATTTCTTATAGTTGGAAGAACTATATTAAAGTTATGTGATATTTTTATTTTTATTTTAAAATATAATTTTAATTAATACAATTTGATTACTATTTAATGAAAAAAATTTGACAATTCTATAAATTATTCAATAATAATTTTGAAATTGGAATAAAACTAAATTTGCTTGTTGAATTACGTCACCGTACATAATTAGTTAAAAATCACATTTTAAATAATTTTTACTCTAATTTCACATAAAAAACACCAATTTTTGAAAAAAATAAATATTTGATTTAAATAAAATAATTTAAAATAATAAATATTCTTTTCATTCTAGAAAAAATTTTTATTTCATTACTTTTTTAAATGAAAGAGACAACACTGTTCTGTAATTTTATTTTATAATTGTTTGTTTTGTTTTTTTAAATAATTCATCTCCTTTCGTAATTTTTAATTTTTAAATAATTTTATCACTTAGAAATATCAAAATTATTATTTTATTTTATTTATAAAAATTGGGTTTTTCTATTCATGTATTGCAAAGTCGAGTGACAATTATATAAAAGTTAATTTTTAGATAAATTATAAAGCTCAGCAAAATTATAATGCTATTTGTTGTCAAGAAAATATAAAACTTAAGTTAATTATACTATTTATAAATGTGAAAATAGGAGGGAATAATCAAATTTCTGATAGCACTTAATGAAATTTGAATATTGATCAACTAGAAAAATACATTTTATTAGTTGATTAGATATAATTTACTCAAATTATTTTTAAATAAGTACATTTAAATAATTAAGAATTTCAAAATTTTAATTTTATATTTTTAAATTTATTTTTTATAAATATATATTTTTAATTTTATATTTTTAAATTTTATTTTTTTAATAAATAATATGCAAAAATAATTAATAATTTTATATATATTTTTTAATATTAATTAATCATTTTTATTATAATTTAAAATTAATTTTATTATAGGCAGTGAGAGTAATATATATATATTATATTTCTCAGTAATTTTTTTCTTCATGTTTGTATAATTTGATTGATAATTATTTTTTTAAAATAATTACAAAAAAATAAAATATTAAAATTGAAGCGATATAAATAACCGAGTAAAAATGAGTAATGACATAAAAAAATTAACAATTATGAAATAACGGATATAACCTTGATTGGATATATTTTTTTAAAATAAATTTAAAAAAATAAAATATTAAAATTGAACGAATATAAATAACGAGTAAAAATGAGTAATGACATAAAAAATTAAACAATTATGAATAACGGATATAATTAAAGTGTTTAAAGATATATTTGATATTTGTGTATAGAAGAATATATAAATTGTATTTTACATGTCTAATGGGTAATGATAAGAAAAGCATGTTTTAAAAAATAAATTAATAAGAAAAACTGATTTTTTTTTAATATTCTTGCTTATATGCTTCTGTAATATTGAAATTAAAATTTTGTATATTTCAATATTTATAGAGACTTCATGAAAAATTAAAGTAAATTAATTAAAAGGTAATTTATATTAATTAAAGATTTAATAAAATTAATTAACGAGAATTAAAGATATAATAATTAGGAAGTAATTTATGTAAATTAGGAAGCAGAATATATTATACATATGGATGATATAAGAAAGGTAATCTATCTAACGTATTGTAAATTAATTTAATTATTGAAGAAATGATTAATAGTATTTTTGTAACAAAAAATTTTTTTAACGAAAAAAAAAAAAGAGACTACCAAGTGTGTTAGTCATTGTACCCATCGGCTAGGATACCGGTTAATTGTTAACGTTTCGATTTAAGACATCCTCATAGGGCGCACGATCCCCCAAACACTGGTGGGAGACCTTGCCCCCTTCCTATAGGATCACGGCATTATGACTTTCAACCCATGATGCAAGAGCCTGGCTTGAGGAAGCTCACTTTAAATAGGCCAAGCTTCCCGGCAGCAGAGTTAATATTTAGATATCGTGCGTAACAGAATATGCTCATGAAGGATCAAATTTTGATCAAGCAGGTAGATGAATAGGGCTTCCCCATTAGGCTACTATCTTCATATATCTTTCCACACCCGTACGTGTATAAGTAATTGTTTGATTAGCATATTTTTATGCACTTTTATATAAGTTCTTTATTTTTAGGAGAAACCAGTGAAAGGAGAAACTAATCTTTCATTTGAAAAGGAGAGTAAGGGAACTGTTAGAGAAAGAGAAATAATAGAAGAAAATAGTAAAGAATTGTAAACTTTTTTTATAGTTATTTTTCCATCTTGTGTTTGGATACAATGAGGAAAGAAAATAGATTTATTTTCCTTTATTTGGAAAGACAAAATTTTGAAAAAAGAAAATAAAAAAGAGAAAATTATAATTGTACCCTATATTTTTTTAAAAGTAATTACTTTACTTTTGTATTTTTAAAAAATATTTATTACGCTCTCATATTTTGAATCCGTTATCTTAGATTGTCTTTTCGTCTAATATTTAAGATTTAAGATTCCAAATCAAAGTAAAATCAGGCGGTCCGAAGTGAAAATAAAATTTTTTCACTATGTCTTTTCTTCTTCTTCCTCTCTCTCTTCTAGAGAACGCCATAGTCAAAAATATATATTTATTTTAAATTGACAAGATATGCTCTGTTCTCTCTCACTATGTCTTTTATTTATTATGTGCTTATTAACACATTTTTCTTAATTTATTTTAATCACTACAATCAATCATAGGTGATTACTACACCAAAATGGAAAACAATTAAAAAGTTCAAACTACGTAATTCTAATGAACGCCTCTGACAATAGCAATGCCAAATTAACCCTATAAAAACTGCAGAGTTTTACAATTATTCAATTAAAAGTTAATTATATTTATGGTGTCTAAACTTTTTTAAAATTTTCAATTTAATATATAAATTATTAAAAAGTTGCAATTAAGTACATATGACTAGATTATTTCTGCAAAAAATAATATGAACCATTTACTCAATTTTAAAACAATATAAAAAAAGAATATGAAAGAAAGGTAATAATATAGAAAAAAAAAAAAAAGAATATGAAGAACGTATAAATAAGAAAAAACATATTAGGTTTAATTGCCATTTAATTGTAGCAAAAATTAAAAAAAAAAAAAAAAAAAAAAAACGCTAAGCACTACAAATATAATTAACCCTTAAAAGTAATAAGTATAATGTTATCTTCTTCCCAAAAAGGGGAGAAAGAACTAGAGTTATGAATTACTCGAATAAATGTCACAATGGATTAAAAGAAATTTCCCAATTTATATTGAAAAAAGAAAAAAAAAAAAATTCAGCAAGCAAACCTCATCTTATGGTAATAATAACACATAATTATAGAGCTCAGTCATTTAATCGTCTTCCCTGCCATTGACATGCAGAGGTTCTTGTAAAATAATCATGCCGGCATATATCGGTAGTTGTGTCTAATGAATCGAACAGATGATGCCCTCCCTTTTCTTCCCTCACACCACCTGTGTTATAGGGGCAACTCAAATTTGAAGGCATTGTCAGATTGGAAACAATGTTTTAAAAATGTAATAGGTCTTAATTGCTCGTATAAATAGTAACTTAAAAGTCTCTAAATCAACGTAAACTGTTCTGTCCTGACTCCACTCACTAAAGGAATTGAGTGACCTCGTGAGAAGTTTTCTATTTCACTCATGGACAAAACCATGCGAATTCTGTCCAAAATCAGAATGGGATGAAATTGACTTTATATAAAGCAAACAATTCCTCTGATGGTTGGAATCAAGTCGTAATATAAAAATTAACAGCTTTTTTAATTCATTTCTCTTGAGGAAGATAATCAGATGCTATTACTTGAATACAAACAACCTCCCATCTAACAGCAGGAGATGACAACCTCCCATCTAACAGCAGGAGATGAAGAAGAACAAGCGTCGTGGCGACAAGATCACGCTTTACTGTTTCCATGCATTGATATGTACATTTACTCCAAAACAAGCAAAAAAGATCCAAACCAAGAGTGATGGCTATAAAGAAATGATTATGGTTGCCACCCCTTAGACGATAGACTTGCACAAACACAAATATGACAACCATAGGTGCACTGTGCACACGCTAAAAAAGTTAAGAATTTAGGCTATGTTTGGTAAGGCATTCTGGACTGAAACAGAATATAACCAAACGCATTTTAGTAACAATAAAAATGCAGTTGGATTAGATTCTATTCCATTTTTTTATGTCTTATCATAGTTTAAAAATAAGTAAAGAAGCAGTTACAACAAGGAAACCATTTGAGTTTACATTAACATGCCAGCTTACTAAACCATGCAACATAATGTAAGTTTTATATTAACTATTTTAGTTTAGGATAACTGGCTGTATGCGTAGAATACTCCAGCACGCGTTTAATCTGATTCCTATTGCAACTTACCAAACCAAATCAGATTCTCTTTTTATGCAATCAAAGCATCGAGTTGAAATACATCTCCAAAGCAGCAAACCTGATCAATAGAAGGTTGGTGCAAATGAATAGAAGTCCTTGTTTTTCCACCAACTTTGCTAGCCTGTAGATAGGATGGGTTATTTGAATGGCTTTTATGCTACTATTTTTTCACAAGTTGTCTCTATCCCAGTGGAATTGATGAAAGAGCAAAATAAAAAATTTTCAGAAATTTGGGAATTTTCACAAATAACCATTCATGCAACTATAGCAATTTTTTGAATTAGGTTATTTTATGTTTTATTTAAGTAAATTTCAATTTTAGTCGAGTTCTTTTTCAATAGGATTTACTATTAGCACCTCATTCTAGTAGGAGTTATGTTTAGTCCTTACTCTGTTAGTACTTATAAATAAAAACTTATTCAAATAGGGATTTTATGCTATAAGAGGCTGTTAATTTCTGTTTACAGGCAGATTTTCAGATTTTAGATTTTGAGTGATAAAAGACCAAATTTAATTAGTAGTTTATTTTCCCTGACCTATAGTTTTCTTTTTAACTATTCTGTTGTCAAATCTATAACTAATTAGGTCAGGATTATTTTTGCTACATCATTGTTGCTATATCATCTTTATAGGTACTACATTACCCAAAAGAAAAAGCAAAGAATTGGTTCTCTGCCTCTCACTAGGTTGCAAAGTGGAACAACCTATTCTAAGAGAGGATTATTTTGAGCAGCAGCTACACTTGCATTTCTCATATGCCACCAACCCCAGAGAAACCAAAAATAAATTAGGTTTAAGATGGAATTGCATACATTGCAGGTGGACAGAGACATTGACTTGCATTCAAGCCATGAAGAGAGAACATTCATCTTCAAAGGAAATGGCTGGCCATCAAAAGTTCTGGCTTTTCATTGTCTTCCTCGATCTGCATTGATGCTTCAGCTTTTATTTCCTGAACCCTTTTATCCCAAATGCCATCTATAAGCTTCCAAGTTTCATCACTGATAATTTGAGTCTGTCATCAAGCCATTGGAAAAGTAACCAAAAAATAAAAGTCGGCATCATTAACATAAAAAGTTGGGTAGCATAGGAAAATTCACAGATTGCATTTCTATTACCTCCATGGAGCGGGGAGCACCAAAGGTTGAAAACCCAACATTTCCAAAATTCACAGATTGCATTTCTATTACCTCCATGGAGCGGGGAGCACCAAAGGTTGAAAACCCAACATTTCCCGGTGCAAATGTAACCCTTCCAGGAAGTGAAACCCCATGGATCCCCCATCTTCCAGCATAAATTAAGGCTCCATATTCATCAACAGGGTCAACAGCAGACTGAACAGTAAACAATCAAGTTCATTTCAATCATGACAACTTTCAGCAATAAATCCTCCAAACCATCAGTATTTTTCAACATAGCAATTGAGTGCAATTGGTCAATGAAATTCATATGTGGCCAAGTAAGGAGGGAGACCTCTCATAAACCTTAACTTATATATTCCTGTTCAGAAAACTACAATATAGGGAGCCTTTGCTAGAGCTAGTAGCACCTAACTATGAGCAATCAATCATAGCAAGACACTAAAAGGCCACAGTATAGCATTTGGCCTTTTGTCTTAAAGCAGGTAGAATAAAAAAGCTGATCATAAATGTCAGAAACTGCTATCTGTGAAAAGAAAAGGAGAAGAGATATTTGAAACAAGCAATCAGATATTTGAAACAAGCAATCAGCTTGATTCATTCCTCATATTAGTTAAGGTAGAAATAGTATTGTCAAGAAAAGTTCGAGTCCTATTTGTATATAGCATGCTCTTAGAGATTTATTCCTAAGTAATCTAGAAGTTAGATTCCTAAATAGTTTGAAACATCTTGTGCATATATATTGTCTCCCTCATTGATGAAATAGAACCACAACAACAATTTCCTCAATTAATTACATGGTGTCATAGCCTTCGGCTCGTTAGTTTTTGTCTGTGAAGCTTCCCAGTAAGAAGCTTGCTTTGCTTTTTGGTTTTGGTACTGTCAGTCAAGGATACCTACCTAGACTATGATTCTTGCCTCACCGCCACCCAAGGAAGGTAGCAAGGCTACTGATAGGCCGTTCCACCAATTCTGGTGGCCTGACGACCGGTGAGTGGCTCTCACGTGCCCTAAGAAGATTCTGCCTTTGTCTCACTGGTGGTTTCTGGTTCTCCAACGTCAATTTGGTGTTAGTAGTCTATTCTGGTACTGACCTTTCTGATCTGGCGAAGTTCTGGTAGGGGCTTCTCAGCTTTTCTTTTTTAGGTTACGCTATTTTTGCCTCTGCTTTTGTTTGTGTTGATTCTTCAAGTTATGGTTACTTTTTGCTTCTGTTTGTGTTGATTCTTCACGTTATGATTACTTTTTTGTGCCTTGCCTCTTGTGTTGAGCATTCAATTTTAGGTATGACCACTGACAATAAAGCTGCCGTTGCTGAGATAGTCCCAGCAATGACCAAAATCACTGAACATAAACTTAATGGGATTAATTATTTGGATTAGAGTAAAACAAGTGGAATTTACTTGAGAAGTGTGAACAAAGATGATCACCTAACTAATGATCCAGCGACTGATGATACTAGACAGAGTTGGTTAAGGGAAGATGCGCGGTTATTTCTACAAATCTGAAATTCTATTGACAGTGAAGTGGTTGGCTTGATCAATCACTGTGAAATTGCTAAGGGGAAGATGCGCGGTTATTTCTACAAATCCAAAATTCTATTGACAGTGAAGTGGTTGGCTTGATCAATCACTGTGAAATTGCTAAGGAGCTAATGGAGTATCTTGAATTTTTATGGAATTTGTCACGTATGTACGAAGTTTGCAAAGGATTTTGTTAAGTTGATCAGCAAGAGAAGCCTCTTACAACCTATTTCATGGAATTTAAAAGGATTTATGAGGAACTCAATATTCTATTGCCCTTCAGCATTGATGTCAAAGTTCAACAGACCCAGCGAGAGCAAATGGCTGTCATAAGTTTCCTTGCAGGACTTTCTCCAGCTTTTCAACCTGCCAAATCATAGGTTCTTTCTAGCAATGATATTACCTTTCTTCAAGAGACTTTCATTAGAGTGCTGCATACTGAAGGATCTCATACCCCTTCACCTTCTGTAAATAATGCTCTTGTGAGCCGTAATCATGTAACCGAGCAGCCAGGAAACAGAGGAAGGGGACGAAATAACTGTAGTAATGGAGCAATTAATCGGAAGGCAAGTATTATTATTTGCCACTATCGCCATGAATCTGGTCACAATATTGGTATTGCAAGAAACCGATAAATAGACCGCCAAGGGCAAATGTGGCCACTCAAGATTCTGCAGTTGGTTCTTCTGACAACACTGACTATATCTACTGCGGAGTATGCTGAGCTCTCTAGATACTGATTTTCTAAGTTTGTTGATCCCTCTGTCGCTGCTATTGCCAATTCAGGTACACCTAATGTTTGTCTTATATTTACCTCAGAATGAGTCATTGAGTCTGGTTGCACAGATCACATAACAGGCAACCCTAATCTCTTATCCTGATTAAAAGAACCTAATAAATTTAATCATCATGTTACTCTAGCTGATGGGTCCAGCTCTTCTGCTAAGGGTATTGGCTCTGCTAATCCCACTCTATATCTTTCTTTGTCTTTTGTATTATGTTTGTCTCGTTTTTCGTTCAATCTACTTTCTATTAGCAAAATTACTCGTATACTAAACTGTTGTGTAAAGTTTTACCCTACTTAATATGTGTTTTAGGTAAAGTTTTACCCTACTTAATATGTGTTTTAGGATCTTTTGACGAAGCGGATTATTCATAGAGGACGTGAGTTTGGTGGCCTTTATCTTCTAGATTAACAGGTTTCATTATGTTTGACTTGTGATAATGCTCTATCTTCTCTTGAAGTTCATTATCGTCTGGGTCATCCTTCATTGCCTATTTTAAAGAAATTGTGTCCACAATTTTAGTCTTTATCGGTTCTAGAATATGAGTCTTGTCAATTTTCCCAACATCATCGTTTACCTTTAGTTCCTCGAGTCAATAAACGGGCTTCATCCCCTTTTGAGTTAGTTCATTCAGATGTTTGGGGTTCGTGTCGTGTTACTTCACAAACTAGGTTTCGATATTTTGACTTCTATGAATAATTATTCTCGTGTTACTTGGTTATACAAACTAGGTTTCGATATTTTGACTTCTATGAATAATTATTCTCGTGTTACTTGGTTATATGTAATGAAAACTCGTTCTGAGATTTTCTATCTCCGGTTCTTTTTGTGGTGAGATTAAAACTCAATTTAATATCTTTGTTCGCATATTGCAAAGTGATAATGCTAAAGAATATTTATCTAGTTTTTTTCAATCATATATGTCACATAATGGTATTCTTCATCAAACCTCTTGTGTTGATACTCCTTAGAATGGGGTTGCAGAAAGAAAAAACTGACATCTTCTTGAGGTTGCCAGGGCACTTCTATTCCAAATGAAGGCACCTAAACATTTTTGGGTCAATGCTGTCTCTACTTGTTTTTTTATCAATTGTATGCCTTCTTCTGCGCTCAATAGTGAACTTCCATTTAGTGTCTTACTTCTCTCTAACTTTGTTTCCCCCATTGAACCTCGTATTTTTGGTTGTACTTATCTTGTGCGTGATATTCGTCCATAGGTTACCAAATTGGATCCAAAATCCCTTTGTTGTGTTTTCCTTGAATATTCTCTGGGTAAAAATGTTGTACAGTTTGTGCCTTGATAGGAGAAGGTAGGTGATCTGAGGAGTGTGAAGGTGGTAGGAATGATTGCCGGAAGCAGGCGACCTTACTGGAAGTTTGTTCGATAGGAAAGGTCGTAGAAAGTGAACTCACGCACTGGTGTGCTGATCAGAGTCCGAATAGTTAGGGCGATGCATGGTGGTCAATGGCGATCATTCCGGCGCGGGAATTCTGTGTTTGGGGTTCGTCAACAGCTGCTGAAGCAATCTAGAGGTTGGTGAGAGCTAGCTTTTTCAGAAATTGGTGGGTTTAGTAACAGTATGTTTTGTGTAACAGTGTTGAAGAAAGAAGCAAATCAGGGAAGAAAAGATCAGGGAAGAATAAGAAGAGAAGATATTGTTCAAGGCTACTTAAGCTTCTGATACCAATGGTGGAAAAAAAGAAAAGGAGAAGAGACATTTGAAACAAATACCATGTGAAAAGAAAAGGAGAAGAGACATTTGAAACAAGCAGTCAACTTGATTAATTCCTCGTATTAGATAGGATGTAAATAGTACAAAGTATCAATCCTAAAAAATGAAAAATATCTCCTAATTATAGTTGGATGTCAACCTAATATATGCACAATCTCAGCCTAATATATTCTAATAAGTACAAGATTCTAATATATTCTAACACTATCATTTATCCCCCGGCACTATAAGAATAAAATGAAAATGTAAATGTTACTAATGAAAATGTGCATCGGTACCAGGACAATTATTATTCACTGCTAAGCACGAGAAGTTACTAATGAAAATGTGCATTGGTACCAGGACAATTATTATTCACTGCTGAGCACGAGAACTTACTTGAGGTATTCGGGGAGCTCTTTTGTATATATCCCAAATTTCTGCAGCTTTTATCTCTCCCTTCTCAATTAAAATGTCTGCACAAATTAAGGGCATAAGGCAAGAAATATAAGCATTTTATCCGTACAACTGGCTCCTTCAAGTCAAATTATAATTTATAAATTGCAACTTCACCAGTAATTGTCTCCACAGCTGAATGGTATTCTCTCAGTACAGAGGAACATTTTTCAACAGCATAACGCATGTATTCATCCCGAAGTGCTTCAAGTTTTGCTGCGAGCTGTATTCAAATTATAAATGCAATATGTTAAAGCTGTTCCTCAGGATGTATACAGAGATTTTAACAGATTTAATAATTAGATCTAAGAATTGTACATTAGGCACAAGATCACTATGATTCCTGTAGAATGCTTTCCCAAATGCTGTCATTCCAGTCTGAAGAATCAAAAGCTCTGCAAGACGTGAAGCTTCTAATGTTGCTTTTGCAGAGATCCAAGACAAATTGTTTACCCCAAACATCTCCTCCTCAATTACTCTAGCTACATAATAAAGCAATCACAGAACCATATTAAATCAATCTAGAACATGACGAGAGAAGGTGAGAGAAAAATTGTATTTGTGAAACGAGAATCCAATTGGATTCTAAAATTCAATACGAATTCTAAAAATCATTTAAATCTATCTGTGTGCAACAATCAAAATATATCAAAATGATAAACTTTGAGAACAAAAGAAAAAAGAGGGAAGAGGATTATTGACGGATGGAAAAAGAAGAAAAAAAACACACATTTTGAATGCGTCAACTCCAGTGTTAATGGTAGAATATTTACATAAAATAGTGGTTTTTACATAAAACCATGTTCAGTGGTTAGAAAAGACAACCAAATAACATTCACATGCAGAATTCCCACCCACAGGTTTTGTCATAAGAGGACACCTCAAAGATGAAGTAGATATAAGACATTTTTTTTCCTGTTACTTTAGTTGTCTGCATTATTTTTCCTTTCCCCTTTGTAGTTGTGGCAGTTCTAGTCAATTTATTCAATAGAAATTAAATACACTTGATATCAATAATTAATCAACAAGGATTTAACTATTCTTTGTAGTTCAGTCACTGCTCCTACCAGTTCAAATGATAAATTGTCCTACAATTGAAACTTCCAAAAGAATTTCACAGAAATGGAAAATAAGTAGATGCTTGCTAGCATCCCTCAGAACTAACAAAATCAGACTTAAAAACTCGAGGCCTTGAAGAAATTACGTTTCAACAATCAATTATCTAAACGCTCTTCCCTTCATGGAATGCATCTTTCAATTAACAATTCTTACTCTTGGCCTCTAAATATTCTTGGACAGAGGCAGACATGAAACAAAATAACAGCATCAGAACCATTTAGGACAACACTAGTCCACCAAAAAAAAAAAAAAAAAAAAAACAAAATAAACAGCATCAAAGAACCATTTAGGAACAACACTAGTCCACCAAAAAAAAAAAAAACATACATTTAGCATACATTTAGACATGAGGAAAATTGCATGATAATGACCCGATAATATAAGGCTTGTACCAAAAAAATTGTCCAAATATCTACCTATCTGTGGTAGGATAAATATTCCTAAACTGAATCTCAAAATAATAGAGTAACAGACAAAATAGAATCTAAATGAGATTAAAGACTTGAAGATCGTTAAGGAAAATTATTATTCCTAATTAGTTAATCATTTATAGTCCTGAATAGCCTAGAAAGTTCTTGTATATAAACCTATGTAACAAGTGCAAACACAAATTCTTCTCAATTCATAATATCGTATCAGACCAGTCTTTTCATCACCGGTTCTCTTCTCTGACATCGACTCCCCTTATGCGGCACTATTGACTGGTGCATTGACCTGTTAACGTCAACTTCAGGTTCCTTGTTTTAAGTATTTTATAGAGTGATGCTTTGTTTGTTGAGTTCTTGTGTTTGGCTTGTTTCTTTTTTTTTTATGTGCAACCCAGTGAGTCGCACATGTTTCTTAGGTACTTCTGATGGTTTCAGTTGCTATCGTTGCTGCAATTCTGTTCCTTTGAGTAATTTTTTTTCTCGGTGATTTCTTCTTGTTTATATCAATTTTTGTTCCTATGGTCATTTCAATTTGAGAGTGCTTTTATTTAAACATCATGGGAACTCCCAATCAAAAGGCTGTTATCACTGATGCCTATGGTCATTTCAATTTGAGAGTGCTTTTATTTAAACATCATGGGAACTCCCAATCAAAAGGCTGTTATCACTGATGCGGTTCCAGTAATGACTAAGATCACAGAAAACAAACTTAATGACTCTAATTATTTGGATTGGAGCAAGACTATTCGAATTAATTTGCGAAGCATTATTAAAGATGATCACCTTAGTAGTGATTCACCAACTGATGATGCGGACATAATTGGTTGAGAGGAGATGCTTGGTGTCGTTGCAAATATGAAATTCTATTGACAATGAGGTAATTAGCCTAATCAATCATTGGGAATTTGTTAATGAACTCATAGATTATTTGGATGTTTTATATTCTGGGAAAGGCAATATCTCTAGAATCTATGATGGTTGCAAAGCATTTTATCGCTTAGAAAAGCAAGATAGACCTCGTACTGCCTATTTTTTAGATCTCAAGCAAATACATGAGGAGCTTAATGTCCTATTGCCCTTTAGTACTGATATAAAAGTGTAACAAGCTCAACGTGAACAGATGGATATTATGAGTTTTTCTTGTTGGTTTACCTCCAGAGTTTGACACTGCGAGATCACAATTTCTTTCTAGTATTGATATTTCTTCTTTGCAAAAACATTCACCAGAGTACTCTCAACCTCTCATTCTTCATATTCTGCCACTAATAATGCTCTTGTAAGTCGTGGAAGGCAAGGAAATAGGGGAAGCAACTATAATTCTGCAAACAGAGGAGGATCTATTGCTCGTAATGTTATAGCTACTAATTGGGGTCCTAATGGAGTAGTTTGCTATTATTGTCATTAACTCAATCAAGGCGCACTTGTTGGAAACTCCAAAATAAACCTCTCAAAATAAACCTCTGCCACATCCAAAGGCAAATTGTAGACATTCAGGATCCTACTCATTGCTTCACCAATCTGGCATCGATTACAAGTTCCTGCCAAGGAGAATTTGAAAGTTTTCTTAATATCAAAAAGCATCCCTTAAAAGTTTTACCAAAATTCCTTTGTTTTTCTACGAGATCATTGCTAATTCAATAAACCTACTTGAATGTCTTGTAAGAAATCCTCATCGAAACAGGTCAATGAGGTCAATGATTATGCATGTACAAATCATATGACCGGTAATCATTGACCTGTAACTTTTGTCCCATTAACTTTTGTCATGCACAAATCATATGACAGGTAATCATTGACCTTCTTTTGTCGATGATTATTCTCGAGTTACTTGGTTATACATAATGAAAAGTTGATCCGAACTATTTTCTATCTTTTGTGCCTTTTGTGCTGAAATAAGAACATAATTTAATGTTTCTATACAAACATTACGCAACGACAATACTAAAGAATACTTTTCAGAAATGTTTCAAAGTTATGACATAAAATGGTAGGTAAATTACAATAATGGTCACCTAAATTCACATTTAATTTTATAAGGTCACCTAACTTTAATTTGTCATTTTTGGTAAGTGACCTCTTGTTGAAACAAAAACTAAAGTTGAGTGATTAAAAAATGACAAATAAAATTTTATAACCTAAATAAAACTGAGTATAAAATTAAGTGACCACTGATGTAACTTATTCCATAAAATAGCATTCTACAACAATCCTCATGTTGATACACCTCAAATTGGGGTTGCCGAAAGAAAAAACCATCACCTCCTTGAGGCAGCTCGAGCACTTCTTTTCAAATGAAAGTTCCTAAACCTTTTTAGGTTGATGTTGTGCCCACTGCTTGTTTTTTAATTAATCATATGCCTTGATCCGTTCTTCAAGGCGATATTCCTTATCCTTTTTAGGTTGATGTTGTGCCCACTGCTTGTTTTTTAATTAATCATATGCCTTGATCCGTTCTTCAAGGCGATATTCCTTATGCTACCCTTTTTCTGTCTATAATTCAACGTGGAAAAAATATTGTTGTTATATTTTCATCAATAGGGACACGTATATATACGTATACAGGATACTATAAACCTATTAGGAATCTAACTCCTAACATAGCTCTATTTACAACTAGTACCCAACTTGTTACAAAGATAGTTAACCCGAGGTCCATTTAGAGCTTTTGTAAAGATATCTCTTAACTGTTCACTTGTTTTAACCTGCCCTGTAGAGATAACACCATATTGTATCTTTTCACGAATGAAATGACAATCAATCTCGAATATGTTTTGTTCATTCATGAAATACTAGATTTGATGCAATGTGAAGAGCAACTTGATTATCAGACCATAAATTTGCAGGCAAGGACGACTTGAAGCCAATTCAAGGACGACTTGAAGCCAATTTCCACTAATACAACTGATAAATCCAAAATTATTTCAACAAGCAGATTGTGCCATAGCCTCGATATTCTGATTCAACACTCAGATTGTGGAGAACTTACATTTTTGTTCTTGCTCCTCCACGATATCAATTTCCAGCCCACAAAGACCACAATAGTCCAGAAGTGATCTTCTATCAAACTCTTCGAAAACGCTCAACCTTCGAACCTGCCCAATCCGCATCTGAAAAACACTCAATGTCCAAATGCCCATGATTACTGTAAAGGAGGCCACGACCTGGATTACCTTTCAAGGAGCACAAAATTTGTCCTAAAGCTTCCCAATGGATAACAATAGGAGAAGACATAAACTTGCTTAAGATGCTCCCAGAGTAAGCAATATCTTGACGTGTTACCGGAAGATAATTTAGTTTGCCCACCAATCTTCTATGCATCTCAGGATCATCAAATAGCTCACCACCAATTGAAAGTTGAAAATTAGGAGTCATTGGAGCACTGCATGGCTTGGCACCCAAGTTTCCAGTTTCCTTCAGTAAGTCAAGGACATACTTCCTTTGAGATAAGAAGATGCCTCTCTTATACCTAGACACTTCAATACCCAAAAAATACTTCAACCACGCAAAAATACTTCACAATCTAAGTCTTTTTGTCTAGAACTGAGTCCTGGAGGAGAATGACTTGAGTGGATGTAATGCCTGCTGAATCACTCCCTGTAAATAACAATGTATCAGCATAAACACAAGTAGAACAATCCAACCAGTCTTTTTCTGAAAAATACAGAATGATCAGAAGTACTCTTCTGCATGCCAAATTGGTGTACCACATTGCAAAATCTACCAAACCAAGCTCGAGGATTCTATTTTAGGTCATAAAGAGATTTTCGAAATTTACACACTTTACCCAACTCCTCTTGAGCAACAAAGCCTGGCGGTTGCTCATGTAAACTTCCTCCTGAAGATCTCCATGAAGAAAGACATTCTTAACATCCAGTTGATGTAAAGGTCAGTCAAAAGTAGCTGCTAAAGAAATAAACAAACAAACAGAAGACAAT